TATAACATGGGGAGCAAGGGGGGGGGGGGCGCTATAAATACACACAAATCACAAAGTGCAAAGAAATTAAATAGGATACGTGGTATGGCGCAGATCCCGGAACACGAAAATAGCAATCTTCATAAACTATGAGGGAATTTCCTTTCAAAGTAAATAGATTGTGACACTGAGGGAGAGACCACGCCAGGAGAAATGATAGTTTCGAAATGGTCTGAACTACCGGGAGTGGAATGGATGATTATTAGGCCACCAAAAAAAAGATGTGGAATGAGAACCACTTTCAGTTACACAACAATGCGCTCCTTGTGTGCCGTTTTGTATGTAGGAGACGGATGAAACTAGACAGGATTAAAACCGAATGACAATGTGCGGAACGAGGAGGATATTGGTTCAAACCGTTGTGTTCGTGGTTTGCTTTTTTTAGTTGAACATTCACGAACTGCACGCATTTGCTGACAGTTCTTCACCCATGTGCACATCCGAACAATACCGGATCTATTGTTTCGCGCAAGGCACTTCTTGCAAAGAACTTGGAACTTGTAGTGTTCCATTGAAAGCCCCCAGTCTTGACGATGACTGTTGGGGTGATGATGTGTGGAAAGATGACATTTTCTGTTCAATGACTTTTTCTGATTGAATAGACTTAGTGCACTGATGGAAATGCACCAATGGACTACTTCATTTGTTGTACTATGAATTTATTGACTTTAATTTGGTTCTATCGTCGGTTTTTTTCTTTCTTCAAACTTTCTATGCATTTCTGTCTAACCATCCCAAAAACTGTAACCAGTGTTGAACTAAAAACCGTAAATGATACACACATACACACGCGTACTGACCTGAAGACGACCTCGAAGAACTTTCTTAGACAGTGATCAGGAGCGTGTGGCAAACGAATGATCAAACAGTACCAGTTGCTAACAAACGTATACCGAGAGCACGTCTAGACGGTCCTATACAGTTCGAACCCTGGACAGTCTGCGTCCTGAGTTACTTCCTCCAGTTCACATTTTCACCCCTCGTGTGTGTAATGCGTAGCACACTTGATTAATTCATATAACTGACGGATTTCTGAGAACAGGCGTACAAAACTTGGTAACGTGGTAACGTGTGCCGTCAGTGAGAATCCCTTTCGTCAAGCGACGTAGGTGATTGAGGGCGGGGGGAGAGTAAGGAAATTTCCCATTCCATTACTTTTCACTTCTACGAATGGCAAACTTAAAGGCGCACTTTGTTTTTAAATGATGTACCTCCTTTATAATTCTTTCCCGGTGAGTTTCAGCCACGACTTAAGTGTTTCATTTTTGATCCCAGCTCCGTTAGGGAGTAGCTTTGTGTGTATGTGCGAGTGTCTAAAGCAGTGGGAAAAGTGTTACGTAAAAAATCGCATGCGAACAAAGTGTAGGCACTATTTGACGGGGAAATGCTGGTACAATATGATGGAAGGTATTCATGAACCACCACACGATCGCCAAACCCGGACAGGTATTCTGACTTACCGAATTTCTCGTCCAGTTGGAAACGCGTATCGTGAGTGAAATTCTGATTGAACGGATAAGTGGCCACGGTGGGCGGAGGAGCACTCTGAATGATACAGAACAGTGTGACATTCTGACCCTCGTCCACAATGATCTCTTGCGATTTGCTAAGTCCCTGATCTTGTGATGAACTGGAAGCGAGGGGAACCAGGATTCGAGTCTGTACGGGACTTGTAGGCACTAAAAATGAAAATGGTTCGGAGTGATCGGTACTGATGAGTAGGTAACGAGAGCGAAATGCTATTGAACAGAATAACAGTTGTAAGGTTCTATACGAGTTTATCGAGTTACTATGGATAGATCAGACACTGAAGTTATCAAGTTATTTTTAAGGCGTTCATGAATAGACAAATGTACATTGCTAGCTTCGAAAACCCTCTCTATTGGTGATATATATATATTTATATTTATATATATTGTCACCAAAGGCATAACAAACATAGGCCTAAGTGTTGTATATGAAACGAAATAGAAAAATACCAGGAAACATCGTGCATAAAAGTTTGTGATTGAAGTTAATATGTACAGAAGGGATTGATTCACTGCAAACTGGGTTGCGAGCCATTTCGGACAGGATCTCTCTCGTCCCCCCCGGGGATTATACTCACCAAACTGATTGCCACCGGAGTTCTCCGTGGAGACCCGAACAAAACTGGCGAGTATCAGCGTCCGACGCACAACCTGTCTAGGATAGGGTGTATGATCCGATGTACTGGACACCGCCCCCCCCCCATGGATTGCGGTTTTCACACACCGCCCCGCGCAGCCTTCCGGGTAGGGGTATGGCTAGCATAAGGCTCCGGTTGTTAATCCCCTAAGAAAATTCACCTACTCTGACCTCGTATCACGTTTACGTGCAAATCACGGACCTTTTTTGTATTTTTATTCTACTATGATTTGTTTGGTACGCAGTCTGGATTCAGACGTGTGTGGGTGTGTGTGTGTGAAAATATAGAATATGCCCATGAGAGTGAGTAATGCAGTGAACATCTTGTGACCGTGCTGGGATGTACCAACTACATCTAGATCACTAGCAGTGGAAGTAAAAGTTGATGGGCTTAGTGTTGCAATGGGCATACGCAATGTCTATTCGATCGTTAACACGTTTGATGGTGTGAAACCGACGTTCGAGTATGTAGACATGGGGATCCCGGTCGACCGCGCGCGTACTCGTGCAGAGCCGAAATAGGCGA